CTTTCTTAAATACTCACCCTTCTGTCTCCTGCTCCTGTTCCTGCTCAGAGCTCAGCTGGGTCTCCTCTGCCTCTGGCCAGGTGTTTCCTTAAATAGAGGCCTCCCCCAGCAGAGGGCTGGCAGCAGCTATTCAAATGCACCCAGGCACTCAATCACATGCAAAACAATTACTCACCCTTCTGTCTCCTGCTCCTGTTCCTGCTCAGAGCTCAGCTGGGTCTCCTCTGCCTCTGGCCAGGTGTTTCCTTAAATAGAGGCCTCCCCCAGCAGAGTGCTGGCAGCAGCTATTCAAATGCACCCAGGCACTCAATCACATGCAAAACAATGCCCCTTCCTTTTCCTCTCAATTGCAGTCAATCACAGTCAAACAATGCCCTTTCCTCTCTCAAGCAGCCAGGAATCTGCAAAAACTCCAAGCGCTTCCACACACTCCCAGACCAGTTCTCCCACCAAAATCCTCAGCTGGATCCTCTCCGCTGAAAGCAAATAAAAAACCACTCACCCCTCTGTCTCCTGCTCCTGTTCCTGCTCAGAGCTCAGCTGGGTCTCCTCTGCCTCTGGCCAGGTGTTTCCTTAAATAGAGGCCTCCCCCAGCAGAGGGCTGGCAGCAGCTATTCAAATGCACCCAGGCACTCAATCACATGCAAAACAATGCCCCTTCCTTTTCCTCTCAATTGCAGTCAATCACAGTCAAACAATGCCCTTTCCTCTCTCAAGCAGCCAGGAATCTGCAAAAACTCCAAGCGCTTCCACACACTCCCAGACCAGTTCTCCCACCAAAATCCTCAGCTGGATCCTCTTTGCTGAAAGCAAATAAAAAACCACTCACCCCTCTGTCTCCTGCTCCTGTTCCTGCTCAGAGCTCAGCTGGGTCTCCTCAGCTGGGTCTCCTTTTGGTTTCTGAAGATTTTAAATTGCCATTTATACTAGAATTTAGGATGCTATTTTGGGGGGGAGGTTGCATTTTGAATTGCTTTTGCATAAAGCAATCTATAAATATTGGTACTAAACGAGATATACAGCTTATAGAATGGCAACTTTATTATTACATAGTTTTCTTAATTTGCAGCAAGTTACAAAAGGTATTACACAACTGTCAACATTTTAGTACTGAAATATAAAAACAGCTTCAAAGTTAAGTAGGTCAACTTATGTACACAGACTTTTTTCCTTTAGCAAAACAGTATATTAATTGCTTGTCTTAAGTACTATGTGGCTATTAGAACAGAGTAAATTAGTTTAATCTTACATAAAGAGTACACTTAGGCATATTACACTGTTAAAACCAGACAAGTATTTTTAGCATATATTTTAAATACAGAATTAGCAATCCTAAAGAGACCCATGCTACAAATTTGTTATAGCTGAAGGGAATAACTCTATTAAGTACTTTTTAAAAAGACATGGATTAATTATACAAGAATACTATCAATCTGCCACATTTCACACTATTCAGATTTACAGCTCCCATATGGCAGTGTTATGATTTTGCTCTGTACACCTGCACCCTGCCAAAGACCCACTGTAGATCTAGTCATCTCAGAAATATCTACATTCTATATCCGTTAATTTTTAAATTTATCTTTAGTTATACTGACTCATCTTCACCAAAGGACCACAACATTAAGAGAATTAACACTGTTAGGACCAATATGTTACTTACCATCATGAGGCTGTATCACATAGTGACTACCACCAATGTAATCTCCAGCAATTCCTAGCTGAGAAGCATCTGTCGTAGAACTATCACCATCCATCTGGAATAAAAAAGTAATGTCTTGAATAATCCACACCAGTTTTTCTAAGCATACCATTCCTAAAATCTTGAGCATATTTAATGTATTTCTGGCCCATTTACCTGAATAAACTTTGGTAGAATTAAATTCAATGTACATATGCCCACTGACATCTGAACTTTGTTTGATCTCAACTACTTATTACTTATTGAACTTATTACTCAAACTACATCTTCTGCTGAAGAGTTTTAGTTCACAGCAGAATTTCTAAGATTCATGAATAATACAAAGCCATGAAACACATCTCTTTATTGTCTGTGGAAAAGCAACTGGTTATTTTGTTCTTTCTTTCAAATTCCTACACAGAAAGAATCTGGCAAATACCTTTAAGTCATACATAGCAGGGCTGCTACATATACACTATCAAAAGGTTAAACTACTGAGCTACACTTTTAAAAGTGAAGGTTGAGCACAGTGACTCTTGGAAAGCGAAGTAATTATTCAACATAATATTTCCAATAAAGTTTTAGTGAAATGACTGGGACTATGCTATCATGTCTACACTATTACAAAATACAGCAAATTATTTAATATTTATTCCTGCATATGCAGTATTTCAGCCAGTTTCATTAACTGCAATATATAAGCATGGAAACAGAATAGGTGCTCACATCTGCAAAACAAATGACTCCAATGCTGAGTTATAGTTTATCTTCAAGACACTGGACTTATCTTCAAGACACAACTTCTGGGTTTGGGCAGTCACAGCACCAACAATAATAGGTTGGATAAGGGTGAAGACTGAAAGAGAGGGCAGATCCTATTACAGCCAACAGTCTCAACAGTAAAATTTTAGGATCAACTGAAGACTATTTGTCACCAGATGGTATTTTCTATAAAGGTGACAGAAATTTTACTTGCCTGTGAAAATTTTAGGCAGTTTTTTCCTCCCCTTCATACTGCACTATTGATTAGATTATGCACTATTTGCATAATTTCATTGTTCTGTAATTGAGAAATCCAGTCTACTGGATGTATGATACTTAAATTTCACTGTTCATTAATAGTGTAATCCAGTTTTATTGCATAGTTAATTGTGTGCATTATACTGGTGTTTATTGCATTGCTCTTGTGGTACTCTAATCCCACCCTAAGTCTCAACAAGAAAGATGGATGGTAAATGAAATAAAAATAATAAATCATGACACTTTATATGAAGTATGAAAGTGTTCCTCCAAATAAGTTAATGTTTAACAAAGCAATAACCCAGCGTTGTTTCATGAAGAATGTATTTGATTTCACAGACCATAATACCAGTCGCATAACATGGAATTCCACAAACTAGTATATGGATACTTAGAATAACTGTTAATTATGAATTTCCTGTCATAGCAAGTGCTTAGTCCTAAATCTAGGAAACTATTTTAGAGAGTGAATAGGTTTCTATGGGTATCTATTATTCAGATTGCTGAGAGAGGTTTCTTCTATTGATTCTTTAAAGAATAAAGGCACTAATAAAAACAAAGGAACCAACAAAAACAAACACACACTTTCCTATAAATACTATTTAATTGCTAAATATCAGACTGTAGGCAATATATTATACGGAACAAGAAATAATTACTGTTAATGGCTTATACCACAAATGTCAATAAATGAAACAAATGCAGTAACACTAAAAACTCTGCTAGTTTTATCATAACGCCAAGAATATGAGCTGACAAGTTTCTAGCTCTCATAGTAATGCACAAAGATTGAACATATGAATATTGGGCCTCACCCACCAAACACTAATCTTTGCAAATCCACTTCATTCAACAGAAATGTTGGTAACATTTTTGGTTTACTATACTCATTGGGCACAATCTAAGAGAAATTAAGCAGTCCTCAAGCCCCACTGAACTGTTTACTTAAACATGGCTTGGATTACACTAATTAAGCCTAAGAAGGTCAGAAACAATACTGGCTGGGTGGTTGCAAGGTCTTCAGAGGTTCTGCCTCATCCTGCTACACATACGGCACTCTGTCACAATTTTATCCCAAGCTTCCTTCACTCAAGAGTGATGTGCATACAACTCCCTTGCCACATTTTACCTTAAGAATCTTGTTAAGTGAGGATGAGAGAAAGTGACTGCCTCAAGGTATCCCAGCAAGTCACACAGTGGAGCATGGAACTGGACCCAGGTCTCCCCAGTCAAAGTGTAGTACTCTAGACGCAACATCACACACTGGCATTCATGACTTTACGGCTAATGCTCACAATTACATCACTGCCTATGCCATTCTTGCATACCTAGAACCAGCTCCTAAATTCTTAGTTCTAGAAAACAGTTATATACTGTCTTTACAAAATAGCCTAAAAAGCGTTTTGGTCGCTACTAGAATCATAACCCAGCTACAAGACTAAAATGCCCTTCAAACCAAGATTTATTCATTTGACTTTTTAAAACAAACATTGGCAGGTAAAGCAAAGAGAGAAAACAGAAGGGAGGAATTGACTCCATCCATTCTCTTGTCCTGTACGAAAGAAGGGTTTCACAGGGACATAGCACTCAACCAAGACATATCTTTGAGGGAGGAGCTGTTCTCCAAATAAGTGGTAGCCATATTAATTGGTCACAATCAAATAAAACAATTGCTAGTCTTTAAAGAGCCACTGGACTTCAGTTTTATTGTTCTCCCAATAAGACAGGGATAAGAAATTTCAGGAGCTGTAGGTATGTTTGACTGTTAAATATAATAGTCTTATTTGTATCTTATCAATGATACAATTAGGATTTTTTAATTACAGCAAATTTTTATTATCATTAGATTCCAGTTATTACAGCAGTCATCTGAAATGAACATGCCCAATTTTTACATAAATACATCTTGGGACTCTTGATTTATGCAACAAGACACTATGCGGTATAACTACATTTGCAAGAATATCATTCAAAAGGCTCTGATTTTACTGAAGATATTCTGGATATTCTGAACACACACAAGAGCAATACAACACTAAAACATCACACTGTACAAGAGTACAACAGCTCCTAGAAATACAGGGCATGTTAAAGGTTTGCACTACTTGCAGAGATCTGCATTGAATTTCTGATAGTTGTTCAAACAACTCTTTTCTGAGAAACCAGGACCCTGACTACATGAAAAACTTCAAAAAGAAATGCCCTGCTATTTTTTTTTCTACATCATTTGATGTAAACAACGGAGGAAATAAATATTTTCATTTTCCATCTTGTACTTCACTACAAACCAACAAAACAACCTAGATGAAAATGTTGTAAACAGCACTGCCATACTCCAAGAAATGCTAGTAGTACCTGAGGATGGGAGCAGAACAAAACGCCACCTTGTACTAGGAATTCATTTTGCGGACTCTCTCACAAGGCAACTATATTTTGTTTAATACTAATTCGGCAGTTTCCTCATTTCTTGGCACTCTTCTATAGTCCATCCATTGCTACCAACTATAGAACAACAGCTTCATGTGGCAGTCTCACCAATCACTGCAGGAAAAATAATTTTAAACAGCATATTACTTCTTGGCTCAAGGATTTTGTTGCTCGACACCCCAAAGATCAAAGAGTTGTCCTTTATGATTTTAACAAGCCAGGTTAGTTTTCAAAGTAGCTACTCAGCAGTGCTCAAGTATATCCGATTCCCTTCAAGCTAGTCACAGGCTTGCTGTCATCAAGAAGAGTGCTACAATTAAAGTCACTTATTCTTATAAAAGAAAACCATCCTTTTTGATTAGAAAGTTCAGAAAAGCTTTTAGAGAGGTAGTCATAATAAGAGGTGCCTGTTTACACACCAAGTAAACTAAGTATAAAAACCTAATGATTTCTCAGGCTTATTCAAAAATACACTTGGAAACACTTTTTTAAAAGATTATGGCTACTCTGACCTTTCACTGTAAACAATGCAACTTTTACATAGTTCTCTCTCTACATATCTCTATAAAGTCATAACAAAGGTTAAGATATTATAGTTCAACACTTCCTAAACAAAAGACATACTGTGACTGGTAACATCTGTACTGATGATACCCAAAGCAGGTCCTTCAGGTGTAGTGTGCAGCTTTTTAGTTTAAATAGCCAGACAGATTTAGATGCTCAAACATGCCCATGCAACACAGGCAGCTGATCAGATGCAACAAGGTAATCAAAGGTCTGACTTTCACAGACATCAATCGTTGCCCACTACTGATAGACCAGATAGCAAAACAGAAGAAAAAGGCAACTAACAGATCATACCAGAAGCATAAATTTTCCCTCATCTGTTTTACTCATTAGTACCTCAGATACTGCAATACTTTAGCATCTACCACATTAGGCATTAAAAAAAAGAATCTCAGATGTACACCTCTCTATGTATCTTACAGGGTTTTTTATTTACATTATGCTTGCTTTGTTTCAGAGCCTGTATGCACACCTGGTTCTACAAGTCCACACATGTAGACAAGTGCCTATGACGTAGGTTCTCTTTTGCCAAAATTTTGTTCCTGGAAATGCCCACCACATGGAAGACAATCTGCATTACCAGAATTATAGCAAATTCAATAATCCACCACCAGCAACTGAAACTCAGTAACACTGCTAAGGCCTTTAAACCCAACTTTTATCCAAGTTCTTAAACAGTAAATTAGTGTTTCTATGGGAGCTACCAACATGATAGGTAATTTATGTTAGTCAATTAAATCTTCCATATTGTGATCCAATCCAAACCACCTCTCATTCAGTACTGCAAGTATCTCCATAGTTTACTTAATTTCACTTGAAGTTAACAGCACCTTGTTTTTTAGCTACCATTTATATCAAGCTTTTAAAACAAAGTAATTCAGTACTTTTGGCAGCTATTCCTATGGATCAAATGTGTGCTGAACAAGATTTGATCCTGAATTTCAGCTATTTCACCCCCAAGGGAAGACCACACATGCACATAATATGTTTTTAAGCACATATACAATATTCAAAAGGAAGCAAAAAAGACTGTGCTGCACTCTCAAAAGTATCAGTTTGTTTTTTAAAGCAGGCAAATAAACAAATGGTGAATCCATTAAGGCAAGCAAAAAATTGAATTTTCTCAATTACATCAGAAAAACCCACAGAACTCTTCCTGGGAGTCAGCTATTTTGTAGGCTAAGCCAGGTAAATTTATACAACCAGCTCACCACCTGTATGCACATTATTTAAAAAATAGCTACAGACAATTTCACTTTGCAGCAGTTGTGAATCCACCATTTTTTAAAAAGGCTGTCACATTTCCATGAACTCCAGTGGCTAGAACACTAATGACAAAGAGGAGCCTTAACGACCAAAAAGGGTCGAGCAAGGGAGGAGAAAAGCCTATATGCGGGTGTGTGTCTATGCTTAAAGACAAAAGAAATAACTCTCACGAGCAGACAGAGACAGCACTGTTGTGACATGTGTGGGGAAAATACCCCCCTCCCTCCATGCACATCCACACACGCACGCGCGAGAAACGACACAACAAACACCACAAAACCCACCCACCTTTGGGTCTGTACGCCGAGGTCAAGACTGGCAGCAGGAGGAGGAGGCAGCGGCAGTGAGAGCGAGTGAAGGGCCCTGCCGGCAGAGGGGCGGCCCGGGCTGGGCGTGCCCCGGGATCATCGCCTGCTCAGCTGCCGGTGATCATGATGCAGGCTTTGGGGGGGGGCTTTGGCGGGTGTTTGGCGCCCCTAAGGGCCGGCGCGCTGTAGGCGAATGCCTAGTTCGCCTAGCGGGTGAGCCGGCCCTGACTCTTGGTCTCTTGCTGTTCCATATAAATGACTTTGCCAATTCTTTAGTGCTTTATCAGGAATCTCAACTGGAAGCATTTAAAATATAAAAGTTTATTTTGGGGAAAACATCCACTTTTATTGTGGAATTTTACCAAGCCAAGATAACTTTAATTTGGACCATCTTTACAAATCATTTAGTATTTTCTCCCATAGTGCTTCATAATTTTCTTGAAAAAGTGCATTATTTCCCCCTGACAGTTATTCCCAGGTATTTAACAGAATTGATTGCAATGTCACATCCAGGAATTGTTTTAATATTATCCGCTTCCTATTTTGTAAGAAATTTAGAGATTAGTTTTTTCCTGTTAATTTTAAATTTCAAAAAGGAACCAAACTTTTCTGTGTGTTCCATGACATATTGTATTGTCTTTTGCTGATTAAATATTTTTAAAACAACATCATCCACATAGCTTTTTAACTTAAATTCTTCTCCGTCGACAATCAGTCCTTTGTTATTTTGATCTTGTCTGATATGAGAAGTAAATATTTCCATTGCAAGGATAAATAATAAAGATGATAGGGGGAACCTTGTCTTGTTCCTTTTTCAATCTGAAAACCATCTGTTAAGAATACACTGATTAGGGTTTAAGCACTCTGCTTCATATAAATTTTCTGAATCTAGTTAAAGAATATATCTCCACAATTTAGATACTCTGTGGATTTTTGGAGCCATTTAAACCACTGCTGCTTTCTGCTCACCAGGAGCAGAAAACAGGTTTAAATGGCCCTACTTTCTGCTCCCTGCAAAAAACCGCAGGGAGCAGAAAGGAAGGTTTAAATGGTATGGGTGGAGTGTCTTCCCAAGGGCACTTCATCCCCACCTTTCTGTTGGCTGTGATTAGCTGTGGCCAGCAGAAATGTGGAAGTCCCTTTCCAGGGGATCTCTCCCCCTTCTGCTGGCTGCGGTGAACCACCGCTAGCAGAAAGGTGGAGGGAAGGGACTTCCTGGGGGATCTCCCCCCTTTCTGCTGGTTACAGAAATGGGGGAGGGAAGTTCCTTCCTGGGGGATCTCTCCCCTTCTGCTGGCTGTGGCCCCATATCTCCCGGCAGCAGAAAAGTGCGAGGGAAGTCCCTTCCTGGAGGAATCTTCCCCCCTTTCTACTGGCCTCTGTTTTTGGGCCGTCTTCAGAAGTCCCTTTAAAGGGACTGCAGAAGACAGCCAGAAAGAGCTGAGCAGCTTGCTCCCTGCTGCTCAGGTGTTTGTTTGTTTTTGCTTTCTGCAAACCCCATTGAAAGGGACTGTGGTCCCTTTCAACTGGGTTTGCAGGGCTATGAACCACACAAATCAGTTCAGTTCATGAATGAGCTTCTGGTTTGGTCTGGGGTTCAGCCACAAACCACGACCCGAATCAGATCTTCCTGGTGCATGCCAATCCCTACCTGCTAGAATTGCAATCCTAAAAAGATTTTCATCCTTCTAGTTACATTAAAGTCACCACGCTTAGAAGGTAACTCTGCTTAGGACTGCACTATATAGCAGCCATAATCAAGGTTGACCCCAATTTGCCGGGGCAGATTCTAAGGATTTCACAGATTTTGTCACCTTCAGCTAATATTCCTGCCTGTCAGTTCACAAATGATATTCTCTAATAGATGGCACTGTAATGTAAGAGTATACAAAATCCCTGGTTTTCATATGTTCTCCCTTGCTCTTGTGAGCTGTTCTGTAGGTTGTTTAAAGGGAGAATAAAATATAGATATTTACATTCAATAAATATTTTAAAGAATAAAGTTTAATGATTAGGAAGTGCGAGTAGTACAGTCTGTGACTATTTCTGTGCAAAACTCAGATATAATCACAAATTACTTCTGTTGTTGCCACTGTCCTAAAACTATTCAAATTTTACTGAGAAATATCTTAGTCTCTTCTTGCCTTTTCAACGCCTTTTGCAAGGTAGCTAGGTGTCATCTCTCCACACTCACAGTTAACATACTCTCTCAGTTGCAATCTAAAATATTAGAGAACCAGTGGGATATAGTGATTATAGTACTGCAATAGGGATGCTTAGAGACAAATCCTCACTTGGACATGAAATTTACTGAGTAACCTTGAGCCAGCTGCACCTTTGTCTCAGCCTAACTTACCTCACAAAATTGTTTTGAGAATAAGTTGAGGGAGGTGAGAACTACGTATGCTGCCCTGAACTCCCTGGAGACAAAATAGGATAAAAATCCCACCTTTGATTCCACACAGGAGAAGATGCTTTTCTGGGCACCTTACAGCTCTGTGACCCATAGCTTGTTAGGCTCCACCCTTTGACCTGTGGCTTCTTGGGATCCACCCTGTGACCTGGGGCCACTGTGGAAGTTTTTTCCCAGAGCCATTGTAGCTCACCAATATGCTCCTGCTGACCACAACCCTGTAGGATGGATAGCGCTACAAGTGCAGCGTCCTAAAATGAAATGCAGTGCTGAAGGGATCCTTTCTACCAATGCATCCTGATGCATCAATTCGGATGAAGTCAGAGGGTAAAATCATTCTAGAGATTTCCTTGGTTTTATTTTTTAAAATAAAAAAATTATTCAGTAAAAGAAAGTTGCTTCATCCTCATATTTGTCATTCTGTGTTTCATTATTGCATTTGCCATTTCAGCTAATCTGCTGTCATTTTGTCATTATTCCTGTCTGGAAGTTACCACTTCTCTTCTGCCCCCCACCCCTTTTCAGTACTAGAAACTGTAGAAGTGATATTATCCCAGTTACAATATTTTCATTACAGTTACTCTGCAACTAAAAACAGTCCAATACAGACACAAAAAAATTGGGACTTCCATCCTAATTCTTTGCATTAGATGTACAAGAGAGAACAAAATACTGAAGGCTAAAAGAATAGCAGTGCAGTTGAGAGAAGATTCAGAAGCTCCTGTGTCTTCTGTTAACTGGAAGTTATATCGAATGAATTTATAATCTGTGTCCAGTTTATGCTTCTTACTCCATGAATTGAGTGTCATGTTACATTGAACACATGTACAGCTGAATGTGTGACTGAACCTCCCCCCTCCATTTATCCAGGCACTGGTCCCTGGCTTCATTTGTAAAAGGAACACAGGTTGGCTCTTTCTTACAAACAAGTGTAAGAGTGTATATGCAGGTCTACTTATGTTCACTGTAACATGTGAACAGGACTTAGATCAAAGAGTTGGGAGGCGGGTTGATTTTGAAGAAAGACTTGTGGAAGGGTGGGAAAATAACAGCATTTATCATTCTCGACTCTTCATTCATGTGACAAATTCATGCTACTTGTCTCTTTGTTCTGGCTGAATTGTCTTTCTTTGTTCCTTTTGTGTGCTTTCCAGAGCAAGGAATTCTCCAGCCGCCGCCAGGAGCTGCTGCCAAACCGAAACCAAGGGGCGTCAACTGGGGAATGAAGGGCAGACAGAAGAGGCGCAGTAGCCCTAGAAACTTCCAGTTGCGAAAACTTTGTCTCTTGTTTACCTTAGCAAAAGACCCCCAGAGTCAAATGAGGAAAAGTGAGGCGGAGGACGAGAGGCCGCTTGAAAAGGCTTAGAGGTCTACGGAGGACTCAGAAGAGAAAGAAATCCTCGTCCCGCGGAGAGGCACTGACAAACCAAGCATGTGCGCGCCAACCGCTGTAGCGGGCCGCGGGCAGGATGCTTGGGAGGCTGTTCTTGCCGCCGGGGAAGCTGCCGCCAGTGCCCCCACCACCACCACCACCACCTTCTTTCCCCGGAGGAAGCCCTGCGAGTGACGTGAGCGGCTCTGCGCTGGGCCCCGCGCAGCTCCCCCGCCCCTTCCCCAGACAGGAGGCGGGAAGATGGGAGGAGTGATGTGAGTCGAGCTGGGCTGTGCAAGCCGAGAAGTGGCAACCGGAGGGAGCTGCTGCGGCCGCCGGTGCACCTGATCGGCTGGGCTGGAGAGGCAGAAGCGGTCTGGGCGTCGCTCGCTCCGGCTGGACCTGCACCCCCAGGGGCGCCTGGTTTCCAGAGGCGGCTCGTCGGTGCTGCCCCGCTTGCCCATGGCTTCGTCTGGCAGCGGCATGGAGGAGGTGCGCGTTTCAGTGCTGACCCCACTCAAGCTGGTGGGGCTGGTCTGCATCTTCTTGGCGCTGTGTCTGGATCTGGGAGCCGTGCTGAGCCCGGCCTGGGTGACGGCCGACCACCAGTCTTACCTGTCCCTCTGGGAGACCTGCACCAAGTCCAGCAACTTGGACTCCTGGGACTGCACCTCTACCTTGAACAGCGGTGAGAGAGACGACCCCCTCCCCCGTGCCTGCAAGCCGCCACCGCCAAGCGCCCTTCGCTTGAACAGCGTCGCTCACCTCGGCCCTCCTCCCTGACCCCACCCATTGCAGCAGCGCCCCCGGACATCTCTCGGAGTGCTGTCTTCCTCCTTCCCCGACCCCAACTCCTGGGACAATAATCTTGGGATTTGGACACCTTACCTACTCCCAACCCCTCCTCTCTCTTTGCCCCGCAGCAGGGGCATCCTTCTCCTTGCTCTCGTTGCACACTCTTCCCCCGCCCCCATCTACCGTTGACATCTACTCCAAAGCTGCCTTTTCTTAAACCCAACACTTCTGCTTCCATAGTGATTCGTCACCCACCCGAGCATGGCACCATCCATTCACCCCCGGCACAACATGCAGCCGGTTTGTCTAATTATCCGGGACCCCACACTCCCCCAGTACACATGCAGGAGCATTGCAAATTACCTGCACAGCACCTCCTGCCCAGCAGGATCCAAAATAACCATCCTTCCCATTCCCACTGTTGTATCCCGCTTGACTTCACATCATAGCACACCCACCCTTGCATCCTAATTTGAATCTTTTCCATGCAAGTCAGTTAGTCCATCCCCATCATCCTTCTGACCTTTGCTCCATATCCCAGATCCTAAACAGTGTTCTCCTGTGAAATCTACATTTGAACACTATATTTTCATTTAATTATCAATCCATGGTATATGCATTCTTCTCTTGTTAACGGCTGCATCCCATCATCTCTCCTTCCCAATAGCCAGTAAACCCTAGTCTGCAGTTCTGCATTCCAATCCTCTACCTCTTTTGCCTGCTCACACTGGATTAATTTTGTATGTTTGCTTACTTACCACCCCCTACTGCCCCTTCATAATTTTTAGTCCAGTGTAGACAGAGAAGCCATTTGTATAAATTGTACTTCTTTGAAGCAAGCTGGTTAACACACATGCACATATCATGCATGCTTTTCCTTGTCTGGAAAACTACAATATAATTTTGGAAACAGGATTAGTTTTTGTTAAAGTGTTTGAATTGTGTGACTCCTTGATTTTCTGAATGGGCTTACTTAACTCACAAAGAGTCCTGCGTGTTCAGATGTCCATGGAACATCTGGTGGTTGGTTTCAGCTCAGACTGGTATTCATACCCTGCACTCATTCACATCCCCTAAGCTACTGCTGGCTAGAAAATTATGGCTTTCAGGACACTGAATCTTAATCAGCATAGGTGCTTGTCTCAGGATTCTGACACCTCTAGATTTTATTTCTACTTTGCTTTCCCTGAGAAGATTTTCCTCAGCATTCCCCCTGCCCATGTATGGCTTCCGTATTGTCACATACCTTGATGATTGTTTTGGCACTTGACCACCAGCATTTTGTATCAGTTATGAGCAAAATCACCTTTCGGTGAGCTGTTTTTATTTTCCATTGTATCACAACAACTTCTGAAACCTCTCCAGGAAACACTGAAGTTAAACTAAAGCCCAATCCCACAAAGCCCTAAATCAGCTTTTGGATCTAGTATTGCCCTTGGGGTTTGAGTAGTTGTGCAAAAAAGGGCTGGTTTTCTGTTTGTTTAACTGTCTACAGTAGATTCCGAGTGTGAGTCTTCCCCACCCCCCTTCTCAGAAAATACTCTTCATTGTTCTGGGAGAATGTTTGCTTTCAAAAGCATGGCAATGACCCTCATTTCTTTTGTACTTGTTACCACTTTGTCAAGTTATCACTGTCAGATTTTTAAAATTTAAATTTGATTTCAATTGTGTGATAAAAAATGTATCTCAATATATATATAGCTTTCTTGTGTGGTTACCAAGGAGTCCCAACAAACTTTGCAGGAGTGCTTTATTTTTCTCCTCCTCACTCACTGAAATTTATGTAGGAATGTCAGCTTTGACATGTCTCCTTAGCAACAGGACTCCTTTGCCCCCTTTCTCTGTCTCTTGAAATGATATCCCCTTGATTGCATAAAGACCTAACAGAGGAATGGGTGGGGGCTGGGGTTTCAACTTTACTCCTTTTCTTCATTATATTATTTTTCTTTCATCCCCTAAAGTATGTAGGAATTAAGACAGACTAAGTAGTGGACAGAGCAGCTTTCAAGATACTACACATTTTCTATTTGCCTTTGGTAATCATTACCTTTTTCAGTTTTTGTTTTTTAAATAAGAGAAGTGAGCAAGGGAGGAAAGTATAAGTAACATACAAGTTGGACACAGTATTTTGAAGGGGAGGGAGTAGATATTTGTTGCTGTGTCTCTGTGAATGTCTTCCTTCACCTTCAGGAAATTTCTGTGTACATTCCTAGAATGAGGTTTTCTCATTATTGTTAAAATAGTTTCTCAGATTTTACAAGCTGCGCAGAATGAATGCCAAGATTATTTGAATAAGACCTTTCCTTTCATTGTATTTTGGCTGAGAGTCACACCTTGAAAGCACTCCTGAAATGTGAGAATCAGTACTGTTTATGTCAGTCCTCTGAATTAACTGGTGCAAGGCTCAAGGTACAAGGATTGGGCCCATGATCTTTAAATGGGGTTTGATCTTCATTGGAGTAGTCTCTTGTACTTAAGAACCCACAATATATCTAATCTATAAAACAGGGCATTCTCTATTCCCTTTCTTGAATCGCACCTCCTAATGATGTGAAGCATGCAGCAATTAAGATACACAGGAAATAGCAAGAGAGTTTCTGAGGGAAGGTTCTTTTTTTAATTTTGGCACTAGGGCAAAGAGCGTTGTAATTGGAGAAACAGAAGGAACCATAAGTGCAAGACACCTTCTCTCACCATTTCAAAACATTTGCTTCATTGTCCCTTGAAGGAGAGCACCTCAAGTGGCACTATCAAGGACAGGCACAGATTGGAGCCTGCTAAAGCATATCCAAAGTTTAATTAAAAACCTTTGTCTTAATTAGACTTTAGGCCCTGACTGCTCCCAGAAAGGGCAAATTCATTGGTGTTTGATGCAAGGAATGTACTCTGAATGATCAGATCGATTGTAGAAGAACACAGTCTCTTTGTCCAGTTGTGCTAACAGCCAGCATATCTCTTGTTAGCTACACAGTATGCTGGTAGCCTTGCAGGTCTTTCTCAAATGTAATGCTAACTGAGCATCAACGTTGTTCTGCTAGCAGTGTTGATGCTAAAACAATAGTGGTGGTTGTGTATGTACTTTAAATATTTCAGGAGAAACCAGCCATATTCAATTTGCCCAAGAATAAGTTTACTATGCAGTTTTCTCTATCTGTACAAGTCATATGGTGAACAAAGATATTACAAATGAGAGAAAAATAAATTCGAAGATTTCAGCTGAGATTTCAGATCTGTTTACTCCAGAGAAACCCCTTTGGCTGCTGTAGGACAATACTGGAGTAAACAGTGAAGGGTCACATTTTGGAATTCTGAGTCAATCCTTTGGATATTGATGTTCAGTCCCCCCTCCCTTTTAAGGCACAATGGTTACTTTTTACAAGATAATTATGCACAGAATTATGTATATTTTTGATGACATGTAAATGGAAAGAATGCACACTATATGTATAACATAATTTCTTAATGTTCCCAAGGTTTATACTGCAGAATCATTAGATAGATAATTATGATAAATATCATATGTGTATTACAGATCAGCCAGATGGACCTTGTAGTATGAGTAAAATTAAATGGCAGTTTGGATTTTTCAAGGAAATATGTATTTTAGCTTAACCCCATACCTATACACAAGAGCCTTATGGGAGTTTCTGAGTGATGTAAATAGTAACATGAATGAACAGTATAAAGCTTTATAGGACATTATTGTTTTTTCCTAGTGAACCACACACTGTAATGTTTATGTAGCATTCAGCTGCCTAGAAACAGTAGTTCTTATACATTTTAGAAACCCATGGGATCAAATACAAAAAGTTGTTTGTCTAGCTTTAAATGTAGTGTTCAAAAACATCTCAAGGCAAAATAAGTAATGCCTTCTTACATAATGCATTTCTGATGTTAGGGATTCTAAATTCAATTTTAATGAATAAACAGCAGAGACGGTTCCTGGTTTATTTTTGTAGAAGTGAGGAATTTGAACAGAGCAATTATTTCCTATGTAATTAAACTATTGTATCTAAATTAAATTAGTAATAATTATAAAATAGTCGCCAAATTAGCCTGGATTTAACTGACATAATTGACATGCATTCTTATTTTGCATGAGAGAAGTTGTTCCAAAGCAAAATTGACAGCTCAAAAGCAGTTTTCTCCTGGGAATATGTAGATCATGGATTTAACTGAGTTGATACTGATAGATATTTGCAAATAGCACAGCAAGACTGGCAGTCACAACATGCTGTTCTTTCCTGGCTTACTCCAAATGGCATAAACAGCATACATGGCGTTCACTGAAAAAAGTAGCCAAATATGGTGAAAGAACATTTAAAAAGTTTTGTAGACACAGTATTCAACAAACTGGATGTGATTCAAGTTCAGATCTCACTCTTGAACATTAATAGAAGATGGATTTTTAGAAAACTGTTTTAAAGCTGTTTAAAACATACACTGTTTTCTCAAAGGAGCAATTTTAATAGATCGGATATAGACCTTTCCAACATCTTGGTTTTAGTGGTATATATAAAAAAACTCTTAAAACATTTCTACTACTTCCAAATATTTGTGGATGGCCTAAACTAGCAAGGTAAATCCACACATGAACTACTTTTTCTGAATTTTTCACTCTTAAAGTTGTGCAGTAAGGTGGAAGAATCTGAGGATGTCCAGAATTACTATCACACCATTAAATAGATGGATTCTGCTGCTGAAAATCTGAGAGGAATGTGCTCATGAGAATTTTTTAAAACCTTGTGGTTCTAATCCAGAGATTCTTGTACTCAGTAGTGGATAGCACATTAAAATATTTTATCACTAAACATAACCAGTTTTGTTAGTTGCACTGATTACCTATTTGGGGAACGATTTCAGACAGTCCTTCAGATGGTCTTAGCTGGGTGA